AAAAAAAAAAAAAAAAAAATGCCTCTTACTCTGCTCACCCAGAGAAGAATTTATGGTCCTTCCCCACAACTCATTTCTCCTTGCAGGTCCCTACCTTTGTCCCCCAGACTTCCCCCCAAGCCCAGCCCCCCCACCCCCAGGGTGTTCCTGGATGATGACCAAGCTCAAGCAGGACATTCAGAAAAAACCAGAAGTGGAGGAAGGCGTGTCTGTGGCGAAGCCGGGAGAGGCTGGTTAAACAGCTGGGGAGCAGCCCTGCTTAGCCTGGAGAGGCCTCTGGAAGGCCGACAGCTTCTCCCGGCTGGAAACCATAGAGGCTGCTTTTCCTAACCACAGGCTGGTCTTTCTGGCAGAATCAGCGGGAGCCTGTGGTCAGGGTGGCCAGGCCCAAGCCAGCCAGCATGCTGCTCGCGCAGTCTGAGCTCCCTCGTCCCGGGGAGTGTGCGGTGCCCCAGGTCTCCAGTGTGCCCCACAAGGGGGAATGGGATTCCACCCCAGCCCCCCGCAGCCCTCTGCTTTACCAGGAGCCCCGCAGAGGAAAGCGCCGGGAGGAGAAGGCAGCCGGTTGCTGAAGGCCAGCTCCGTGGGAGGTATTTTCTCATTGATTATCCAGTAGGTCCCCGGGGAGGGTCTACTTCTCCAAGAGGAGACAGGCTCAGGGCAGTTAGGAACCTGCCCAAGGTCACAGAGAGGAGGCGCTGGGGCTCTGCCAGGTCTGTCTGATTGCACATGGCTCTGCGTGCTGCAAGAACAGGGAGGTCCTCAGCCAGTGGGGCTGAGCTGGGTCCCCGAGAAGCATGTCTCAACCCCTCATTATGTAAGAGGATGTGGCTTCGCTGCTGAGGCCTGGGGGGGAAAGGAGAGGGGGTGGGGGATGGCTCTGGATCTGTGGGCTCCTGCCCTCTGTGGGGATGGGGAGGGTCCAGAGCCTGGTGATTCTCTGGGCACTGTGCCTGCTCTTGAGCAGAGCCATGGGTCAGATAACCTGGCCGCCTGGCCAGACCCTACTCAGGGTAGCAAACGATTGCACACAGTCAGTCATTTCTGCTGTAAAGCCATTTCCGTTGCATGTTTGCCTGACTGCTTTATTTAAGTAAAGCATATTTATAGAATATAAACAAAAATAGGAACAATTGAGAATGAGGTTTATAGAAATACGATGCTGGTAATTTTTTAAAAATAAACGTATAGTTGTGGGAAATTTTAAGCATGCACAGAGCAGAGAGAAGGCCTCTTTCTGCAGGACCCAGGGTGGGTCTCCTGCGACCTAAAGGAACTTGGGCTGTAAGCTCTCTCTGCCTGGAGGCATCCAGGAGGGGCTCACCTGGTATGTGGTTTTGTTTCTTTTTCTGGTGCTGGACCTGGGGGTGCTTTACCACGGAGCCACACTCCAGCCCTTTTTGTGCTTTATTTTGAGACAGAGTCTCCCTAAGTTGCGAGGATGGCCTCCATCCTTCCTCAGCCTCTCAGGTTGCTGGGGTTTCAGGTGTGCGCAATGTGCCCTGTACCTGTTGTGTTATAAAATTTGTAAAAATAAGACTATTAAGGCTCCCTCTCTCTTTTTTTACGGTTCTCTTCCTTAAGGTCCCTATGCATGTATAAGCTTCAAGTTCCAACTTGGGGGATTTTAGTAGGAGCAGCTGCACCCGCTCCCTCCTCACCCTTCGGCTGGAGCTTGATAAGCAGGCCTGGGGACCTGAGGTTGGTACTTGTGGCCCAACAAATTTCCCAGGACTTCCTGAACTTGTCTGGCCTACAGTGCAGGCCCCAGCCTTGGCCTTGTCCCCAGGGCCAGGGCTGATCCAGGGCCGCAGTGGAGACGGGCTTGCTGGCCCAGTCCCCAGAGCTGCACCACCCTCCGGTGGAGGACGAGCACCATCATGTATTCAGCCATGCTGTGCCTCATCCACCTGTGCCTGGCACCGAGCTAAGTGTGAGGGACAAGTGGCACAAGGAGCATGTGACTCCTGCGTTCAGGAGCCTGCACTCTTCAGGGGGAGGCAAAGGGCAGAGAAATCACAGGAAGGGGCAGGAAGTACAGGGTCCCTTGCAGCCTTGACTTGCCCGGGAGAGATAGACAGAGACCCACTGAGGCACTGCTGGTCGTGCTGTCCACTCTGTGTGTTGTCCTGGGGCATGAAGCCTACGTAGGCCACAGGTCAGACTCCTCTCTGCCCTGGGGAGGGCAGCAGTCAGCTGATGGGTCCGTACAGAAGCTGTGTTTTTTAAATTTCTGGTGTCTACAAATGAGGCCTCAAGTCTATTCCTGTAGGTGTGTGTTGGCCACCATGCTCCAGAGCAAAGCTGCCCTTGGCCTTGAGGGCCGCAGTGCCCAGGTCCTGACATAGGCTTACTCAGACGACTTGGGCTCTGTGGACCAACTCCCCAGAGCTGTTTGCCCTAACCTGCTTTTTAAGGGCTGTGACCAGCCCCTCCCTCTAGTCTCCTAAAGACACATTTGAAGAGTGATACAGAGAAAGGTGAGTCCCCTTTCCAGAGGGTCCTCTATGCTCTGGGAAATCCCAGGAAATGGGGCCATCCGTGCACCGGAGGCCATGAGCCTCCAAGTGGTATTTACGTCCAAGGACAGAGGGGGTGGCAGCGGGGCAGGGTCTCTGTCCCTCTTCTGACAACATTTGTAGTCCTTTCCCGGATCCAAAGGGTCAGCCAGGTACCTGAAGTGATGTCCTTCAGTGTGGCGGGGGAGGGCTGCCTGGCCAGGAGCCAGTGAGATTTTGGGGACTCTGCTGATGTTCTGTAAATTGGGCCTGGGACTGGCCAAACTCTAAGCAGGCAAGTTTTTCATAGATTCACTCATCTGGCTTTTACTGACTGTGCTTGGAGCTGGGGATACACAGGGAGGGCAAGACTGCCCCCATCCTCCTGGAGGTTGGGCCCTGAGGAGGAGGAGTTGGCTGGGAGGACCTGGGCGGGTGTTTGGGGTAATGTGTTCAAGACTGAAGGCCAGCGGAGCTGCCTGTAGAGGCTGGGGAGGGCAGGAGGGCCAAGCTCTGCAGAGCCTGTGGCTGGAGAGCAGGGCCGGGAGAGGCCCCTGGAGAAGGAGAACAGGCTGCTGTTGGAATGAGGGATTTCCACCAGCTCTCAGGAGCCATGGAAACCCCTCAGGAGACCCAAAGGGGGCCCCCCAGGCTTCTGGTTGAGCAGTGTGGAGGTACCATTTGTGGAGGATGGGGGCTGCGTGTTGGGGAGCCACTCACCTTTCCAGGGGATGCCCTCTGAAACATCCCGGGATGTAGCCGGCATGTCCTTGGACACATCTGACCTGGAGCCAGGGCTCCTGGGCGTGTCCCTGGGGACAAGGTCCCCCTGCAGTCACCGCTGTGGGAGCATCAGGGAGAAGTCTCAGGCTGTGTGCGGGGCTCAGGCCCGCTTGGTCCCAGTCTCTGCTCCTGTTGCAGGAACACAGCCAGCCAGCGTGCCGCTTCCGGGAGCATCCGTGCCCCTCCTCCCCCGCTATCTCCCATCTCTCATCCACACAGGACGATGATGGCTAGGCCGAGCAGGCACTGCCAAATCAGACGCAGCCTTTCAGAGACGGCGTCCTATTTTGAAGTCTGTTTACTCTACAAAAATTAATCTCTTTGGTGCCTGGAGGAGGAAGGTGCATGTCAAACGAAGCCAGCTCTGGATCCCACTGCTCTCCAGGTACCAGGTCAGGGAAACAAACTGCTGCTCCCCAGGCGGTGGACACAGGGGCGTTTGGTTTCATTAGTTAATCACACACATCCCCCAGAGGCCAGAGCGGAGCCTTGCTGACGTCTTGGAGGTCGTGGGAGGGAGCAGAGGACAAGGTGGCGATGGCAATGGCCAGGGAGCTGGGACCCACGTGGTCTCGATGGTGGCCCGAGACCTCGTGTGCCGAGGGGCTGGTTGCTCCCACGAGGGCCTTTCCAGGGACACCGAAAGGCCACTTCACTGGACACAGCAGGCAGCCAGGGAGAGATGGGCCATCAGAGCTCTCTCCCACTCTGCTCCCACCAGCTCTGTGACCTGAGTGGCCATCTCTGCTTTTCCTCATCAATGAACTGACTGGTCACTTATATGCTGGCTTGTGTCCCCTGTCACCAAATTCCTCTGCTGAAGTCCTAATCAGAACGTAACTGTTTGGAGGCAGGACCTTGGGGTACGTGATCGGGTTAGAACAAGGCTGCTCGGGTGGACCCTAATCCACTTTGAGGGTGTCCTTACACGAGAAATCTAGGCCCTCAGAGAGCCACTGGGAACACTCCCAGAGGAAAGGCCGCTAAGGACAGACAGGGAGGCGGCTCTGCTGGCCGACGGAGAGGCCCCTGAGAAATCAGCCCTGTTGACACCTCCATCCTGCCCCCCAGCCCCCAAACCACGGGAAATCACGTCTCTGTGTTCAAGTGGCACAATCGGGAGGACTCTGCTAGCACAGCGCCAGCAGACGCCGCCACCTTCTCTTCCACAGCCCAGGGTCATTTCAAGGGCCCAAGGAGAGACTGCAGGCAAAAGTGTCTGGGAATCAGAAGGAAAAATGCAGTTTTCTCCATTCCTTTTTATTCCATTAAGGAGAAGATCTCGTTTGGCCAAGGTATGTCTTCAATATCTTTCTGATATTGGAAATCTCCCTTCTAAAAAGAAATTGAGATAAAATTCTCTCAACATAAAATCCTCCACGAACCGTTTTCGGGTGTACTCTCCTGCAGGTGTAACCACAGCACTGTGCGGCTGTCACCGCTCACTGGGGCTGAGACACCCCATCCTCCAGGGCCTGGTGGTCCAAGCTCACCTTCGTCTCTGGATTTTCCTACTCTGGACGTTTCATAGAGTACATGTCACAGGAATTGTCTGTGTGACCTGGGTGCCAGGTCTCTGTCACCACATGCCTTGGGTTCATCCATGCCACAGCATGAGTCGTGCCTCTCACCTTTTCATGGCTGAATTATATTCCATGGAAACCACGGAATATAATTCATCTGTCTATCCCCTGATGGACATTTGGGCTGTTACTATCTTTTGGCAATTAAGGATTGTGCCCCCATGAATGTCAGTGTGCAAGAATGTGTCTGAACGTCTATTTCAATTCTATGGGCTACATACTTAGAAGTGGAATTTCTGGGTCATATGGTGATCCTATGCTTACATTTTTGGGGAATGGATCTCTCCTGTTCTAATCAAGCGAGAGCTCGTCAGGATTCAGACCTTCATTGGAGAGAGCGTTCAGAAGAAGTTTGCAGAACTCTTGATTTCTAACGGCCCCACGAAGTCCATGCTGGATTTTCATCTGTAGGAGCAGCACAATATTTTTTTAAAAATAAGCGTTACTGTAGCCAGACGTGGTGGTGCGTGCTGGTGATCCCAGCAACTCAGGAGGCGGAGGCATCGCAAGTTTGAGAACAGCCCCAGCAATTGAGTGAGATCCTGTCTAAAACAAAACAATTAAAAAAAAAAAAAAAAGGCTTTTGATGTGGCTCAGGGGTTCAATCCCCAGTACCAAAAAGGAAGAGAAGGGAAAAAAAGACAAAAGAATTCATGTTACTTTAGGAAACGGGCAGATGCAAACCTATTTAGAAAACAGACGACACTGTCCAGAGGGCTGGCCTCCCGGGGGCAGGCGTCTCTGTCTGGTTTACTCTGAATCTCCAGGCCCTCCGATGGTGCCTGCATGATGTCAGGTCCTGGGTACACGATCACTGAATCAACGACTGTACGTGATACACCTCTGAACAGTATCACACATACGTAATTGTCCGAACGGGATGTGGCTCTGACTGAAATCACAAAGGTGGAGAGCAAATGCCTAAGAGCTGGCACGGTGGCCCCCAGGCACACATGAGGGTGACACCCAGCCCTGCCACTTGCTCACCCTGACTGTGGCCTATTTCTCATCTTCTCTGAACCTCAGTTTTCTCCTCCGAAGCTCGGGGTTACTGGGGGAATGCAAGGTGCTGGTGTGTGCGGCACATTCAGCAGAGGTCGGCTGGGATCATCTTGACCCCCTCAGCTGCAGCAGGGGGCTCAGAAGTGGGGAGACAAGGGAGGGCTCAGCCTGCAGTGTGGTGGGGGAGGCTGGGAGTCCCGCTGCCAGCACATGGTCAGGGCTGCATGCATTTGCTGGGCAGGGCCGGCCCTAGGCCCACACAGGAATGGTTGTGCATGAGAAGCCGCATCCGATCTTGCATTCGTTCAGGGCTGGCGGCCTGTGAGTGTGATTTCCCTGTACCCTCACCCGGCAGGGCTGGCCAGAACTAGAACCCCCTACGTTACAGGGCGCAGACCTGTGCTGAGGAGGGCGGAGGGGCTGGGTTCACGCAGCAGGTCAGCCTCAGGGTGGGGATGAGAGTTGGGATGGCTTGGCCTCGTGGCCCCTCAACGTACGGCTTGTCCTGTGGTGTTGGGACCTGCCCGCCAGCCTCCTGCCCCAGGCTGGGCCTGGGAATTCGCATTTGAGTTCCCACCTTGCACTTGTTCTGCAGAGCTTTCCAGATTCCGGGGCCTCTGCAGAGTAGACAGGGTCCCCTGGATCTCGAGGAGACATCACCCTTCACCCTAAGTTGGAAGAGCGGGGGTGGGGCAAGGGCGCACCACCAAGCTGCTGGGAGGGGGACGTGGCAGGGGAGTCCCTTTCATGGGCCACTTTCTCCTTCTTCCCAGGACACTGGGGGAAGCTCATTCCTCTGGGTGTCACTGTGCTGGGAGCAGGGCCCCTGCCACCACCCAGACACAGGCCGCTCTAAACGCCTGCCAGTTGGGGCCGAGTTAAGTGGGTACAGGTAACAGGGCTCAGCTGGGGACCTGGGACATGTGCCCAGGGGGAGAAGAGAAGCCACCAGGTCCAGGGCCAGCACCATCTATCTTGATGTGACCTGTGGAGGCAGCGAGATGAGTGGGTGTCCCTCCCGGGCCCTCGGAGCTTATCACGGTTATTGGCTCAGAGGGCCTTGGAGAGCCGCCGTCTTCAGAGTGACATGGAATTTATTACTCCTTCCTTCCGTCGCTCGACAGCCTTCTCCCAGCGCTTTTCTTTCGAAAAATGGTTCCTGCCAATCTTGCTGTTTACTTAAGCGGTTATTTATTTATTTCTCCCGCTGCCGGTCTGAGCACTTCTTGATAACTTCACCGCCTCTTCACCCGCTTAGAGGACCCCATAAGGAGAGCCCCAGCCTTGAGGAGCAGGCAGGAAGGTGACCTGCCTGGCCTGGGCCAGGCCTCGGGGAGCTTGGGTGAAAATGGGTGGCTGTGGGTGGCTGCACCCCCTCTGCCCAGCTGGGAGGTGGGGCATGGGACTCAGCGGGGCTCCTGTGCTGGCTTCTGTGGCTTCCACTCGCTGGCCTGACGCCTTGGGCAAAGTGTCCCCTGTCTGGGCCTCAGTTTACTCACCAGGGAACAAAGGAGAGGGGCTCGTCCCCCGTCCTGTGGTCTAGGAAGGCAGAGGGCACGGATCTGGCTGAGTTGTGGTGAACCCACTTCTCTTTGCTTCTCTTGCTGTGGCCCTGGAAACAACCCGAGGTGGACAAGATGCCCAGTGCTGCGCCCCGTGCTGGGCCCTGGGTTGGCCCTACTTACCACGCATGTCTGATTCTTATGCAGGTGTGAGGAGGCCAACAGACGGAGGGGGATGCCCTTGCTGAGGCTCAAGAGGTGGCCAGGCCTTACCACACAGGCCCATGCAGGGAGGGCAGGCAGAGGGTGAGAGCACGGGCGGCCGGGTGGGGGTCTTAACTGCTTCCATGGGAAGGGAGAGACGGCAGAGGCCAGGTGAGAAGCCTAGCTGGCCAGCCTGAGTAGTTTTAGTGGGCTTCGGGTGTGGCGGGCTTCCGGAGGTCTGTTCATGGCCCTGGGGTGATGGGGGGCCGGTGGACCGTGGTCCAGTGTGAGCCTGATAACAGAAGTGTTGGGGTGTGGGCTCTGGAAGGTTTGCATGTGAGTCCGTTTGAAGGCGAGTGGTTTCCATCTCTAGGAATCAGCTAGACAGGTAGGTAGCTGACATCTGAATGAAGAAAATAAGAAAATGCCGTTAACAGAGACACAGTGAAAGGTGTGCTGCGTGTGACTTTTGTTTGGTCTTTTTACTTTTTATTTTGAGACGTGGTCTCACTATGTTGCTGAGGCTGACCTCAAACTTGTGATCCTCCTGCCTCAGCCTCCCGAGCCGCTGGGATTACAGGCGTGCTCCACTGCGCCCGGCTAATTTTCATACATTTTTTAGTAGAGTCTGTAGTTGACATTAGCGTTCATTCTCTGTTGCACACTCTGTAGGTTCTGATGAATGTATGAAGTTATTTTCCACCATCATTACAGCGTCATACAGGAAAATTTCCCAGCCCCAAACACCCTCTGCCCTGAAAACCCTAGGCAGTCACTGAACTCCCTACTGTCCCCAGCTTTGATTTTTCTAGAATGTCCTGAGCAATATGTGTTTGTTTCCTCTTTGTCTCTACATGTCTTGTTGGCTCATTTCTTTCCCTTTTTTTCCTGGTTGTTGAGGACCTTTATTTTTATTTATTTATATGTGGCGCTGAGAATCGAACCCAGTGCCTCACACATGCCAGGCGAGCTTCCTGCCACTGAGCCACACAGCCCCAGCCCGGCTCATTTCTTTTTATTTCTGGGTAATATTCCGTCGCCTGCATGGGCCACCATTTGCAAATGAAGCTTACCCACTATTAGCATTTAAGGGAGCGGCCCAGCCTCCGTGGTGCTGGTGGGGCTCCCCGATGTGTGCACACAGCCCGGGTGGAGCCCCCAGAGACCACTGTCCTGGCACTCAGCACCAGAGCGCCACGGTCAGGCAGTGGGGATGGTGGGTTTGTGGGCGTGAGCCACCGGGGCCATGCTTCTGCTCTGGGCTCCACGTGGCTGTGGGGGCAGTGCTGACTGTCCCTGAACCTCTTGGTGGTGGAGACCCAGGGGCACTCTTCTTTACCCATAGGGCTGCAGGCCGGCGAGGGAGTCTAGGAGTCTGAACGCTCTGCCTCCTGGAGGAACTGCAAACAGCTGCGAGAAGACAGACCCCCAGGGAGCGGGTGCTGCTGGCCTGGAGCGGCTGGAGGCCTCCTTCAGGCCGTTCAGGGCAACTGGGGCCGGGCTGCTGAGCTTCCTGGGTCCCCGGGGTGGGCTTGTGCCTGCTGCCGGCTGCCCGCTGCAGCCCTCTATGGGATCCTTTCACCGCTGGCCTCCTCCCAGACTTACACCCTGTCTGGGACACGGCTTGCTGCTCCTGTGAAGGCTCCTGGCCAACGTGCTCCAGACAGGGCGGCTGCCTCCCCTTCGGCAGGCCTGTGTGCGTGTGTGTGCTCATGCGCATTGTGTGCAGGGTGCTGCAGAGGTGGGCGGTGCTGCGTCAGCCCCTCCTCCCAGAACCGTGGCTCCAGGACCCGGAGCCCTACGGGGGGGAGCCAGGCTGCCAGCAGGGACCCGCTGACGTGGTGCCATGACCAGCGAGCTGCCAGGGGAGAGTGCCCACTGGCTGGCATTCTGCCAGGCAGCCTCAGCTGGAGTCTCAGAACCTCTCGAGACACCCCAGAGGTCGGGAGCCAGGAACTTCTCCTCTCACCTCTGCATCGGGTTTGCTTTGAACTCCTCGGGGTTCCAGCAACTCCAGAGGCCCCGGGAACAATACCTGGGGGGGGGGGGGCTGCTAAGCAGCCTAGCAGGCAGGACGGGCGTCTCCCTTCCCGTCCACGGCCTGCTCCCCCAGGGAGGCGGCCGATTCCATGCAGACCTGAGCACCCCTTGGCAGTCCCACGCCGGGCTGGCTGGCGAGGATGGAGAGGATCCACTTGTTTTAAACGTTCTCTGAGCTCTCCTGCCTGACTCTGCCCGGTGCTCCGGCTGACTTTGTCCTGGGGGAGGTTATAGAAAGATCTTAATGCTGCCCACACGGCATCAGCAAGGTCCTGTGTCCCCGACCCGGGAGCCTGGACAGGGCACTGCAGGCAGCTGTGCATCCATACGCTGTGGCTGATGTACCCCTCTGTTTCCTCAAGGTCAAAGAGGAGAAGAAACGAGGGGTCTGAACCAGCCGCCTGCGTGCCTTCGACGTGTGTCCCCCCGCGAGGCCAGGGCCCGTCCCCGTAAGCTCTGCGGTTCCCCCGGGGAAGGGAGTGAGTGGAGGGTCCACACTGGTATTTTCATTTTCTGACATTTGTCTGAGCCCTGGAAGCTCCTGAGCCTCTGGAATGGCCCAGAGGCTCAGGAAGAACTGGGCACCAGCCTGCCCAGAGGCCTCTGTAGACGTGAGCCCCACGGGGAGAGGCAGCCTTGGCTGAGCTCCCTGAGCTCCACGTGGAAGGTGGATGGCTGCTCGGCTGCCGTTCCCCAGCCCTCCCCATCCAGTCCTGACTTGGATTCACATCTCCTCTGGCAGCAGCTGGCTGCTCTTGCTGCAAGGTGGGAAAGGGAGATCAGCTTCGCCCACAGCGTGAAGTAGCGGGAAGTGTGCTGGTGCTTCTGTGGCTGGCAGAGGTCTTGGGAGGGAGCTGCCTTGCTGTGTGTTTTGGCCAGATAGTTTTGCCTCTCTGGGCTCATCAGTAAACAGAGACAGAGGGCTAGAGCGCTGGCGAAAGTTTTTCTGGTCCTTCCCAGGGAGGGCAGCCCACTCCTGGGGGGAGGAGGGGCACCCCAGAAGGAAACTCATCTCTAACTTGGATGCTTATTCTGAGATCTGAGTCTGGGTCAAGCAGGGCCCACACCCAGCCCTGCAACCCTGAGAGCATTTAAAAAGACCCGAGTGACCAGCTGGGGTCCCCTTGAGCCTTGGTTCCCTTGGTCCTTCCTTGAGGAGGGCTGAAGCCCAGCTTTACAAATGGGGCTGGAAGTTGGGACCGGCCTGAGTTGTCTAGGAGTTAGCGTTTGCTCTAAATAGAATCATACTGTCCCCTATTTAGTAGAATGCAAATAAAAGTGGCAATACTGTCTTTCTTATGAATGACCTGGCACTGCTATTCAGGTTATCTATTCCATTCTTACAATAACCCAAAGAGGTGGGAGTGACATTATCATTCTTCTATAGAGTGACAACACTGAGGCAGAGAGGTTAAGTAACTTACCCAGAGTCACACAGCTGAGACACTTGGCAGAACAGAACTTGAGCCCGGGCCTATCAGAGCTAGAGTTCAGGAGATAACCTCTAGGCTACACTGCCTCTTCTCACCGTAATCGTAGAAGTCCTGGAGGGACGTTTACTGAACAGCTCTGCCTCGGAGTCCTTTGCTGGAGGCTGAGCTGGTAAGCCCAGTTGGTTGTGGCTGGTTGAGTCCCAAAGAGGCCACTTTGAACCTTATGCCTCGAAAAAGTAGAGACTACCCCTGTGGCCCTGGCCACTCTCTCCAGTATCCTGCCTGGCCTGACCCTGTCGGCAGAGCACATTGCCCGAGGTTGGGCAGGGGGTGGGGGACTGTCCAGAGACTCATCAGCGTAGGGAGTAGCACCCCAGCTTCTAGGCCTTTCATTAGTCCAGCGGAAGCTCTGGCCACAGGGACGGAGCTCGGGCAGCCACGTATCTTGGTATTTTTCTTCCTTTCTTAGGAAAAAATGATGAGAAGACTCGAGAGCCCTCTCACACACGATTTCAGGTCATAGTAAGAGGACCTCAGGAGAATCGATTCTGTTATCACAGAAGTAAGAGCAGGTACTGCCCCTGCCCTGCCTTGACTCCAGCCGCCACCGGCCACGTCCATCATGCCTGCAGGAGGGAGATGGCAGCCCTGGGACCTGGCACCATGGCATAGAGGAAGGTCTGCAGCTGGGTCAGGAAACTGAGGGTCCTTGGGGGACAGACAAGGACAGGCTGGGCTCCCAGCCACCCCAATAGGCTCATTTACGAACCCACATGACAGAACCCTGTAAGTTGTTAACTCATGAAAAAGACACTTCTAAGGGGTGACAGCCCGGCTCTGCCGTCCACTGACCTGTGTTCCCGTAGGGAGCTGATAGCTGGTTCTTTGCTTACAACAAGAACTTTGATTTTACCCAAGGACTTGATCTGGGTTGGCTTTGCAGAAGGACCTGCAGCTTCAGTCAGTAAAGGGATTTGATCTTCAAAACCAGGTATGAGCATGGACATTATGGAGACAGGTTTTTGTATAAAGCAAGGGCCATGTGGGTGAGCAGAGGGGGTGAGGCAGGAGGGCCCAGCTCCGCCAGCTCGACCCTGGTGCAGGCGTGTGTCCCTGTGCACCTCGTGGCTGGCGGGTTCTCCCATGCCAAGGGGGAGCGCGAGGCAGCGTCGCTCAAGGCTGCACAGCCGTGTTCTGTAGAGCAAAGCACATGGGATCTGGGAGGCAGGAGCCAAAGGCACAAACAAATAACCAACAGCCCAGCTTATAAACACATGCAGGCTCTGACAGCCGCAGGCAGCCACCAGCTCCTTGTCCCAGCGGGAGCAGCAGCACAGGGCCAGAGAGAGGGACCTTGAGTCCTTCCAGAGAAGTCCTTTCCCCAGCTGCTGCCCACCTGGTGGAGTCCACCAAGGCCTGGCTCTCCTCCCGCGGCCATGAGGGTGGCCTCCTGTGTGCTTCCACTACTCAGAGCAGAGGGCGGTCAGCTGCCAGGGCTGCTGAGGTGTGCTGGGTTCTCTTGGCCTCCCCGTGTCCCCAGTCCTGCCTTCGAGGCAGCACTGACTGGGAATGGCAGAGACACGGATCTCAGTGCCACGGCTCGGTTGTGTGAGTCTCAGGACTCGACGTCTGGCATTGGCTGGAAGCGTGGGACCCGTCTTCTTGTTTTGTGGTTCTGAGGATACCACCCGGGGGTAACCCTGAGCCACATCCCCAGAGCTTTTCATGGTTTCTTTTGGGACAGGGTCTCGCTAAGTTGCTTAGGGTTTTACTAAGCTGACGAGGCTGGCTTCAAACTTGCAATCCTCCCTTGTCAGCCTCCTGTGCCCCTGGGATTACAGGTGTGGGCCACAGCACCTGGCTTGGACCTGTCTTCTTGACCCTCTAAGGGTCTCTGCTGTTCCAGGGAGCATCCCAAGCAGAGTTAATCTATCTGTCCATCCATCGTCCATCTCCCTCCTCCCTCCCTCCCTCCATGTCCATCAGTCCACCTTCCTTGTCCCCATCCTCCCAAGGGCATGCTGACTGACAACCCTGAGAAGCACAAGTGGGTACAGTGAACGTCCCTCTGGTTCTGACCCTCTTTGCCTTCCCCTCGGTGCAGGACGCAGGCTCAGGTGAGGGGATCCAGAGGGGCGGGCTGCTGTAGGAAAAGTCCTGGTTGCTGTGGGAGCCCAGGGCAAGGCTGTGTGCCGAGGGCGGTGACTTCTCATCTGAGGCCAGACCCCTAGACCACACTGCTGCCCGACTCTGAGGGTGGGTGGCGATTCCCAGGGTTGGCACGCGTTAGGTGCAAATGGAGAGTGCCCAGGGCAGGAGGGCACTGTGACAGCAGTGATGGCCACTGCCCACTCTGTGCCCCGCCACGGGACGGTACCCTCAACAAGGCTCTGCTGCCACCTCAAGCTGAGCGACTTTGGCCAAGGTTCTGGACCCCTCTGAAATGCATTCCCTCCATCAAAAAGGAAGAACGTGAGCTGGGAGTGGCGATGCAGCCTGTAATCCCGGTGATCTGGGAGGCTGAGGCAGGAGGGTCGCAAGTTCGAGGCTCACCTAAGCAGTTCAGTGAGACCCTGTCTCAAAAATGGAAAGGGCTGGGGATGCAGCTCAGTGGCAGAGCCCCCCTGGGCTCAGCGGCAAAAAGGAAAAACAACCACAAGGAATCACAGTGTCCCTTTTCGAGCCTGTGGTCTGCGTGTCAATGTCAAACCCTCTTCACGTGCTGGTTCTTCTGTGTTGAGGACTCATTGGTTGAGAAAACTCACAAGGACAAGAAGCTACTTTGAATTCAGTAGTGGTTTAAAATCAATTTATAATTGGTTATTCGAAGACGCATGTGTATGCATTTGAGAAATAACCCTGGCGTGGGCTTTGTCCTGAAGGGTGAGTGCGAGGATCTCGGTCAGTGTGTGGTGACTCTGCCGCCCCCCCCCCCCGCCACGGGGGCCAGGTCCTCACACCACCCCTTCCAAGTCTGCCTTCTGTCATCCACAAAGGGCTCCACTCCTGCTGCCCTCAACTCCTGCTGCTTGCAGAACAGGAAGGAGACGGAATGGTAGGGCACGAGCCCAGGGAGGCTGATGGAAGATGTCAATGGCACGTGAGGCAGAAATGGGAGGGCGGGAGGTCCGCGGTGACCCTCGGATGGGCTCCACCATGTGGAGGGGCCATAAGAGCCCTCAATCCCCTGTCGCGGAAGCAGATGTGCTTCACAGGTGCTGGCCTCCCCTGTCTTGGCCAAGGGTCCCCACCAGGGCACCTTTCACTACCCAGCGCCACATGTGGTCCAGTGCTGAGAACTGGAGTGTGGGGCAGCTGGGGACACAGCTGTGAGGACTCCACCAGCCATGCTGGGCGAGGCAGGCCGCCCCTGGTGGCTTGGGGAAGGGACAGGACAGTGCTGACCAGGGCTGGAGGTGGGGCAGGGCTCCCGGGAGTCTGACGTCTTCTGCTAGAGCTGGCTGGCACCATGGGCTGGGTGAGCCGAGCGCTGGAGACCTCTGGATGGCGTCCCTTCTGGAACCTAGCCACGGACCTCAGAGAAAGGGGCAGGGGACAGCGGTTTCCACCACAGAACTAAATGCCTGGGGTCCTTGTAGGTCCCCAAACAGAACATGCAAACGGCTCGAAAGCAGGCCCGATCTTTCCTTCTTTTTATTATTTTTAAAAATCATTCCTTTCTGAGATTGGATTTGGGCCGACTGCACACATCAGCACTCCGGCTTCCCCGGGGAGGGAGGCAGAGCTCGCCCCGCCCCCTCCCCCGGCCCTCCCCACTTCTGGCACTGAGGGCTCAGCCCAGGATGCAACTGTGGGCAAATGAGGCCCTGCTGGGGCCGGGGAGCCTGGGGAGGGCACCTCTGCCTGGGGGAGGAGGCCCCGCTTGCTGGTGCGGTCTCAGCCTTCTGGAAGCTGTAATGAGCTCAAGTTTGACTTTGGGTCTTACAGGCCATGTACTGAATGGTTTCAGGATCATGGAAGTTTCTCATACAGCAGGGAACAGCTTCTATTCTACCAAAGGCCCCGCCAGCTGACTGCCCCACCTGTCTGTCCACAGCAGCCCCGTGGACCTCTCCCTCACAGCTCCTGGTTCTTTTAATTCCTGCGTATCTAACAGCTTGTAGTCATTTGTCTCTCTGTATGTGAATGTCACTCTCCCCAACTACAGATGAGTGCCACCAGGGAAGCATGCACACCTGTAGCTCTCCAGGATCAGAGGTTAAAACTGGGTATGTGGGTGGGCGGAGGGGCGGAAGGATGGGCAGATGGACGGGGAGTTACGGGATGGGTGGGTGAGTGGTGAGTGGGTGGGGGCTCGAATGGCTGGGCAGACAGAGGGGCAGGGAGAAGCTGCTCCTCTCATTGTGGGCCCTGTAAGTGTAAGCATGAAAAGAACTTCATTTGGAAAGTGTTCCTTTAATGATCAAAGGAAGAAAACACTGAATCTACTTGGAGATGAGAGAAACTCACTCTGAAAAATAACAGGCATGTTTGAAACGGCCCTGAAATGTGTGCGTGTGTCTCTACGACTGCCAAGAACGCACAGAGGACAGCCGGCTGCTTCCCCGGGCCAGTGAAGGGGCTCTGGAAACAGCTCTGTTGGTAGGAGTGAGGAGAGCGGCTTCAGGAGGCCAACCCCGTGTGCCTGCAGAGGGGGTTGGGGACGGAGCAAAACCCCTCTCGGATCTCGCCTGGCAGGTGCCGTCAAACCTGGCTGCTGAGGACAGTCTGCAGGCCAGGTTCATGGTGGTGCCCGGTGCTCTGAAAGGAGGGCTGATGGGAAGTGGCAGAGTGATGTTTTGGGACTTCTGAGGTCAGGGCAGAAAAAGCCTTTTAGCTCCTGCCTGGGGCCAAACCTGGAGAAGAATGAGACTTCACCCCTCCATGGGAGCAGTAGCCAAGAATGGGCAGCCATTTTAAATTTGCCACACCAAGTGACTCTTTATCCAGGCTGGCTGAAAAAAGAGGGAGTCCTTGGGAATCTCCTGGACCTTGAAATTCTCTCCTCACATGAGATCCCCTTTCTCTGCATGTCAGCCCACTAAAATTATGTATATATTATGCAAATTGTGTTATGCAAATTGGATGCCTGTACTCTCCCCAGCCTTTGGGAACGAGTCAGAGTGCTCACAGCCCAGTCTTGCTGGTGTGTTTATCTTCGCCTGTGTTAATGCAGCCGGTTAACCTCAGTCAGTTTGGGTTCTCTCCCCTCCCACCCTCCCTGGAAGTCCTGGGACCCTCACACGCCTTTGATGGTCAGCCCTGACATCTGGCCATCGTCACTCCTGGCTGCCATCTTGGTACCTTGACATGCAGCCTGGGCCACTGAGGCTCACTTGCTTGCTCTGGAGGGTGGTGACATTGCTCAGCCCCGCTGTGTTCTGTAGTTTGGGGGACCCACAGAGGGCTGCCTGAGCTCTGAGGGAGGGTAGTGGCAAGTGCAGGAGCACCCCTAACTGGGCCCACACTCGTTTCCTTCCTTCCAGGCCCGGCATGTACGCAGAAGTTGCGGGCTTTCATTTCCTTCTTTATGCCCTGTGTCTGCATCACCTTAGGGATCAAAAATCTCCTCCGGGGCTGCATCACCCCTGCCCATGTCCTTCACCACGGTCAGTTTCTCAGATGCCAGCAGCTGTTTAGACATGGGCCAAGTTCCCCTCCTGGGGGATCTGCTTAGCCTCCTTGTGAACAGGTCCAAGCTGGGACCCCACAACCTCAGAGGCCCCTTATTTGCAGAGTCCCCCTCAGTGCACCTGTGCGGCTCTCAGCACGGCTCTTGTCCACCTGCTAGGTCCTCTGGGGATGTGTGTATGCATCTCCCCACGGGCAGGAGCGAGGTCTTATGGATTGGGAGTTAGATCTTAGCTCATGACACAGTGCCCCACTGAGGTGACCCGAGAAGGGTGGACGTGCAGGAGAAGGATGTAGGGTGCATTCTGCAGCTCACGATTGGGAAAACTCATCGGAAATCAGAAGGCAGGTGTGTGCACAGGCAGCGAAGCTTGTGGAACAGTCAAGCCCCGGCTTTCCTCACCGTCTGATGCCTGGGTCCAGCCTGGTGCTCCTGGACAGACCCCCGTCCTTACCCCCTCACCACACGGCCCCATGGCCGCATAGTCACATGGTGCCAGGGTGTCTGGCACCAAGCCCCTGCACCAAACCACTGTGGCACACTGCTTGTGATGGAACTCGGGGTTTGAGCAACACACCTGCGCCCCGCCCCTGAGCCAGGCACCCGCGGCCTGCACGCTCTAAGTTGCTAACTCTGGGGAGGAGGGGTGGCCTGGGAGCTTTCTGGACATGGATTTGGCCATGGCTTTTCTCCAGTAGCTTCTGTCCCACCTGCCGGGTGACCACAGCGAAACCAGAAATCCAGTTTGGACCAGACTCTGAGAGTGCTTTCCTGGGTCTTCAGACCCTAAGGACACCTCCAGTCCAGAATGTAAGACGGAAGTGGTGAGGGGTGTCGTGGAGAACACGGAGGCCCCGAGGGGGGAAGTGAGGGCATCAGGGACCCCAGGAGTAGGCCTGCACCTGGATTCATCCCTCCTAAAGCCAGGCCCGTGCTCCTTGGACCACACCAGGCTGGACCCATTCAGACCCTCTGAGAGAAGGAGTGGGGTTGATATATAAATGAATGACAAGGAGCCAGACGCCGGGGTGCATTGCCCATCATCCCTCCCAAAATAAGAACTAAAAGAGGCTGAGATATAGCTCAATAGAGTGCACACCTGGGTTTAGTCCCCAGTGACCTCAGCTGCTCCTTGCGGACCTTCAGGCTGCCCACTCTGTCCTTACTCAGGGTAGCTGTCCCCTGTCCTCACCCGTCAGCAGCCTCTGGTCTTCACCAGCCCTCTCTGCGGTTCGGTTCCCTCAGTGGGGTTTATCTTCTTGACCTAAATCCCTCAGAAGACTCTCTAGGATACCAAAGGCATCTACAGAGAGCAGTTGGGGCCATCCTGGGATGGACCTCCTGTGTGCTTGGCATCTGTCACTCATTCGCTTACGCACACGTTCCAACACACATTTATCATGTGTCTGCCATGGGCCAGGCCCTGCGCTCTTCTGGGAACAGACAGGCAGGGCGGTCCCTGCACTTGAGATACCCTGTGACTACAGGGACACAGCAAATCTCTTTGCTGTCTCTAATCCTCTCAGGGAGGCTCGCTGGAAGGGCCGTGAGAGAAAGTGAAGAGTGAGCAGGAGGTGCAGAGGGACCGGCAGGTGCCAAGCCCAGGAAGGGTGAGCAGCTCTGAGGGCCCTGGGGGTCTGGAGGGAGGACACAAGGGGAGGCAGGTGGCGGGCAAGCTGGAGATGGGAGCTGGGCCCTGGCGTAGGACAGGTAGGACAGGGGACCCGTGGAGGACACTCAAGGCTCCCTCCCCCCAAGGTGGCCTTTCCCTGCGAGTCACGGCTCCTGGAAGGCTCCTGACACCAGGCTCCAGCCTGTTTCCTTTGGGGCCATCTCCACTCCCTTCCCCTCCCCACAGAGTCCCAAGTCTTCCCTCTCCTTCCTGGCCACAGCCAACCCTGTCCTCGTTCCATGCCTCGGGATGCGCCAGGTAGCAGACACTCTGGGGGCTCTGGCCCAGCTGTGATGCTGGAGTCCACCCTGAACTGCCCACTCCCGTACCCATGTCTGATCTGTGACTTCGCCCCTGGTCAAAGGTGCCCATGGACCCAAACTGTGCCCCTGGGTTTCTTTCTTGGGTATTTGGAATGGGCTTATGAACTGCCGTTGGGTAAGGCTGCTGTCTGGGACAAGGTGCTGAGGAAAGCCACTTTCTGCTAGGTGATCTGGGAAGTCAGGAGTGGTGCTGCCACCAGGCAGGAGGGGGAGAGAGATGGGGGGACCCTCCTGGAAGCGTGGGCCCTGCCAGCCCTGCTGCTCGCCCTCCTGCAGGGCCAGCACACCGCTGCCCGTGGCACCGCACGGCCACCCACTCCCCGAGAGCAATGCCTTTCTGACCCACCCTTCTTCCCCCTCTTTCCTTACCTTCCTGCCCATTGCCCACCATCAACTGGGCAGACTCTGGTTAGGATGTGTATCTGAAACCAGGTGCCTGGACAGAGGCAGGGAGGGGTCCTCCGGGGGCACAGGGGAATAAGCTGGTCCTGAGGATCTCGAGGCACATGCTGCTGTATTAACCAGATTCAGGTCAAGGCAGGAGGTCCTGGGCTCCAGGGCCCAGACAGAACCCTGGGACAGGAGGTCCTCCATGCATGGTGCCTCACTCGGGGCCTGAAGTTGTAGGATTTGTTCCCCAGCAGCCTGCAGCCTGGGGAGGTATTTTTTCAGCCTAAGAATATGCTCCTCAGTGTTAGTGATCCCTTAAGGCAGCCACCATGCCACCTGGGGGGCTATGATTAGAATCCTCACTGTTCTTCTCATTACTGTGATTAACAGTGACGGTGAACACAACTTCTGCTGAGAGCCCGCCTCGCAGGGCCTGGCTTGGGGGAGCCCCAGAGACCCCTTTCAGGACCACAGGAGCTCAGTCCACCATCCCTGCAGTGAGAGGTCTCCAGGGGCACAGCGCTGCTTCCTTCATCCAGGCCCCAGGAGCTGTAGAGGGGCTGGCCTCAGGGTCTAGAGGGGTCAGCTCAGCACTGGGGCAGAGCCAGGCCTGACTCCCTGCTGGGCTCCCAGGGCTGTGTCATGCTGCCTGTCCTTGCAGGGCTGATTGTGCTGAACCAGAGGAGTGGAAGAGGGACAGACTGTGGCACATGTAAGATCTCTTCTTGCCAAATGTGCATCCTCACCAGCCTCTCCTGCCTGGGCCCTGTTGGGGTCTTGCTGAGGGTGGCCATGTTGGCCAGGAGTACTGGTGCAGCTTGTGGGCAGGGGACAGCTGTGACCAGAAAGAGGCTGCGAGGTTAGAGCTTGACTGGAAACATTTGGAGGAGGGAGGATCCTTCCAAGGGGACCACTGGCTGTTCTTCACAGCCACAGGATCCCGCAGGGAGGGTCTGGAGCTCGGCATTCTAGTCTCTTTCCCCAGCAGGCACCCACTCCTGAGCTCACCCGACCCCTGGGCACATCCTTGACACAAGAGAGCTGTGTTTTTGGTTTTTTTTGTCAAACACCGGCAGGCCTTGGGTAAGAGTAGGAGCTCACTTACTCACCTTTCGGTGGGCAGACCAGCTCAAACTAAAGCAAAGCAAAGAGAATCTGGGGGTGAGCCCCTCCAGCTGGCCCCGGCCCACAGTCGTTTAGATCCTGCTCCGCTCACACGTCTCTGTTTTTCAGCCAGCAACATGGTGCCCCTCCCTCCCAGTGACGATCAGGCCCTAGGGCCACCGCGGTGAGGCCCTGTCCTCGGAGGAGGGGGAATCCTGCTGCCCTGGTGCTGGACCCGCGCTCTCTCAGCTCCTGTCCACGCCAGGGCTCGCCCTAGGACTCGGGTCCCTGCCAGCCTGCCGCTCCTTGGGAACGCAGGGGGCGCTTGGCAGGAACGCTTCCCCTGCTCCCCAAGGCCCTGGGGCAGACGATCCGCACTGCTGGGGCCTCTCTCACCCCACAGCCGGAGGGGAGGAGCGAGGACCCGGGAGGGGAGGAGCACGGGCCCGGAGGGGAGGAGCAGGGCCCGGGAGGGGAGGAGCAGGGCCCGGGAGGGGAGGAGCGAGGACCCGGAGGGGAGGAGCAAAGACCCG